CATGGTTAGTTCTTTCTTCAGATCGTTTTTTATGTTCAGTCGAAAGAAAGACGTCTCGGCGACTAGAGAGACTTCCAGTTCCATTTCCTGATCCTTGCAAAAAACGTTCTTCATAAAATGAGTCCTCCTCCGGTTGATTTGCAGTCCTAACCGCCTACCTATGTTTAGCAACATCGTCTCCGCTTCAGTGATATTGCTCGAAAAGAGAATGTCGTCCGCAAAACGAATGTTTGAAAGGGTTCTCTCATAAACAGTATACATAATGAGAGGAATTTTCATATACAGTAAACAGCTTTTGCAGCTTCGAGTATTATCGAGGTTTGCCGAGAGTACCGCCTATTTCTCGTCCGACCTTCTTCGACTACTAGGAAGCGTTTGACAGCATCGAGGATAATGCCATAATGTCAGTGCTGGTCGAACAAGGTGTGGACGCGAACATTGGCCGACTGCTACAAGAACTGCTATATAACGGTGTAGTTTTTCCGTCGCCTCCTTAGCATAATTTAGAAAAAATTCGAGAAGGCGACAACGTGTCGCCATAGTTGTTTACTGTCAAGTCAGTATTATACAAAAATTCTTTAACACTATTATAGGGTTGTGGTACAAGATCCGACTTTGAGCTATGAGATGGCCATAGTCACAATCGCACTCGAAAAAAAGCATTTCTGGCTTGTTGTCGACGAATTGTCTTGTCAACTAAAACGTCTATTCAACAATGCAGTAAAATATATAATAACGATTTGCGGCTTAGTAGGATTAGAGCAGAAAAACCAAATTGCCTTCAGAGCTAGCCATAATGATGACTGCACTCTTGTTCTTTCGTTATTCCCGTTAGCTTCGGTATTTTTTATACCTGCACCACTTCAAAAAAATAAGACATCGCTGTTTTGATCTGCCAAAGAGTGCTACTTATTTTCGTGCAGCAATCCTTAAGTTGTATTTTTGCAAATATCGCTTGTTTTTCATGTGTTTGTAGATTGTGAAGCCGATCTTCAAAGAGTTTGAGCTTAAAATAAGGGTCAGCGCCTGTTAAAATAATTGCGTAATAATGCCATAAGGAACCATTTAAATGCCGGCCATGCACTTGCTAACACCATCTTGCGGCTATAGAGCTATCTAAATTGTTCGCAGTTCTGAAAGAAATGATAGCATCGCTCGTAAAAAGAGGATTTTGTTGGTAAAGCTTCAGAACATCAGCTGTCTCAGCATTCCGCTTGTTGAGAGAAGCTCGCCCTACTCCAACATGGCCAAGTGTAAACAGTATATACTCTATACTGCTTTTTCTTAAAACTTTCGTTTAGAGATAGTTAATGAGAAGGTGAATATGACAAAAGAAC